TCGATAGGTGAATAGATAATATAGATTGTATAAGTAAATATGTAAATAAATAAAATAATATATACAAACAGATGAAATGTAGAAGAATTGGGAAAGATATGCAAAAACGATGCGAAGAAGTGCAGAACAAATGCGGAAGAGATGTAAAAGAAATGTAGAAGTGGTACGGAAAAGATGCGGAAAAGGTGCAAAAGAGTTGCGGAAACGATAAGATTCAGATGTGGAGAGATACAGAAGAAATGCGAAATTAATACGGGAGAGGTGAGAGAGAGATATGGTACTGTTGTAGAAAAAGTGCAGAAAAGGTACATAATAGATGTGAAAGAGATGCCAGAAGGATGCGAGAGAGATACGGAAAAAGTGTAGAAGAGGTGCAGTAAAAGTTCAGAAAAGATGCGGAAAAGGTGTAAAAGAGTTGCGGAAACGGTAAGATTCAGATGCGGAGAAGTGCAAAAGAAATGCGAAATTAATACGGGAGAGGTGTGAGAGAGATGAACTGTTGTAGAAAAAGTGCAGAAAAGATACATGAAAGATGGAGAGATGCCAGAAGGATGCGAGGGATGCGGAAAAAATGCAGAAGAGGTGCAATAAAAGTGCAGAAAAGATGTAGAACATGTGTAGAAAAGGTGTCGAAAAAGTGCAGAAAAGGTGTAGAAAAATTGTAGAAAAAGTGCAGAAAAAGTGCAGGAAAAAAGTGTAAAGAAGTGCAGAAGAGGTGTAGAAAAGATTCAGAAAAAGTGTAGAAAGTGCTGAAAAAAGGTGTAGTAAAAGAGGACAAAATTTTGCGAAGACGACGACGCGACGACGACGTATCTGAATGAATAAATGACATAAATTGGGCTGAAAAATACGTGCACATATTCATATCTAAGCATCAAATACACTTGTGGACATGATTATTATCTTATTGTAATTATAAAAATTTATATTCTTCCCCAATATATGCATTTTTTAATAACATTAATTTGTTTAAATAAAACAATTTTTAATTATATAAGCGAGTTCATTCCTGTAAAGGATACGGTATAGGGTCTCTTTCATGACATGGTATTATTATATTATGTACTACAAAAAATATACTTGACGGGAGCCGCGTCTCCTTATTTCGAGAGCATTCTGTTGTACACGAACTCTCAATCGCATACTGTCCCGAGCAAAATGGTCGTGCAGAACCTCAAAACAAAACTATCCTTGAAATGGCCAGGACAATAATGGCTGGAGCTGAATTTTCTCAAGGATTTTGGGGTGAAACCGTTCACACAGCAGCACATCTGAGAAATCTAATTCCACTGGAGAGATTGGATGGAATGACTCCTACTGAATTGTGGACCGGTAAAAAGCCAAATATTTCATATTTGCTCATCATTGGTAGCAACACATACGCCATGATCAACGAAAAACAAGGAAAATTTGAGAAGAAGAGTCAAGAGATGGTTTTAGTAGGTTATGCATCAAAACAAAAGGCTTATCGTGTTTGGCAACGTGGAACTAAGAAAGTTGTTGTAAGTCGAGATGTAAAAATAGTTGAATCTAAAACCAAGCAACAAGCTGTTATAGCTGAAACAACGGATGACCATCATGAAGATAACGCAAGAAGTGTTGGAACTTCAGACAACGACTCAGGAAGTGATACTGGAAATCAGTCTGACATGTATTTAACAGTAAGTGATGAATTTAACGAAGGAGACAACAAAATTGCAGAACGAACACGCAGCAAGATAAAAGAAAACAAATTCAATGAATGCATTGCAAACCGTACACGAAGTCATGCTTCTTCAAACGTAACAACTGCTGCAAGTGCCTTCTTAGCAGATGTCTTAATTCCAAACACAGTTATTGAAGCTCAAAAAATCGGGACCTCACAAAGATTAGTGGGAGTCGGCTATGAAGATGGAGTACGATTCGTTAATTCAAAATAATATCTGGACTCTGGTCAAACCACCAAAAGATCAAAAACTAATAAAGAACAAATGGATCTTCCGACTAAAAACGAAACCGGATGGATCAATCGATCGATTCAAGGCAAGTAGCTAAGGGATGTTCACAAAAGGCCGGAGTAGACTACTCAGAAACGTTTTCACCTGTTGCAAGATTTGACTCTATTTGTACATTACTATCAATTGCAACTGCCAATGATTATGAAGTATATCAACTGGATATTAAAACAGCGTTTCTACATAGAGACCTCGATAAAACCATTTATATGGAGCAACTAAAAGGGCTAAATGATGGATCAGGACAAGTATGTAAATTAAATAAGAGTATATGGACTCAAACAAGCACCTAGGCAATGGCACACAAAATTCAACGATTTTGTGCAAAGATTTGGTTTGAAACCGTCACATGATGATCCGTGTGTATACACTGGTGATGAACTGTTTATGGTATTATATGTTGATGATGGCTTGGTAACAGGCTGTTCGGAATCAAGAATTGAAGAATTGCTGAAGGCATTGCGGCGCAATTTTGAAATTAACAGCTCAATGGCAGTGTGCTCTATCTTGGCATTGGAATTTTGCGTGATCACAAGTTGAAGAAACTGAAGTTATCACAAGAAGCTAATACAAAACACATAATTAAGAAATTCAAGATGCAAGACTGTAATGGAATTAAGACTCCTATTGATCCTAATGTTAAATTAAAACGCAACTTGAACGAAGATGGGAATCCAGGTCCAATCGCTAACGTTCCATACCGATAATTAATTGGCTCCCTTATGTAACTCTCAATCGGAACGAGCCCTCATATTTCATATGCTGTAAATATGTTAATCAGATTTCATGAAGCACCATTAAATAAACATTGGACAGTAGCAAAACAAATACTAAGATATTTGAAGTCAGCAATCAATTTGGGGATAGTATACAATGGAAATGATGACAACACAAATCAACTGACAGTGTATTCAGATATAGACTTCGCTTCATGCCCAGATACTCGTAAGAGTATTAGTGGAGTTGTACTTATGTTAAACAACGGACCTGCTTGGTCCGTTCCAAGTGAGGCCCGATTGCGCACATTAACAATCAGACCAGACAGGATTTCCCGATCGGACACGGACCCGATCGGACACATTAGTGATCAGACACATGGTGTTGCAATCGGACACGGACCCGTTTGCACACCGATCCTATTGCGCACGGACTCGATTGCGCACCAACCCGATTGCGCACGAACCCGATTGCGCACGGACCCGTTTGCACACAGACTCGATTGCGCACGAACCCGATTGCGCACCAACCTGATTGCACACCGACTCGATTGCGCACGGACCCGATTGCGCACGACCCAATTACACACGGACTCGATTGCGCACGACCCGATTGCACACAGACTCGATTGTGCACGGACCCGTTTGCACACAGACCTGATTGCGCACGATCCGATTGCGCGCAGATCCGTTTGCACACGAACAGTGGGGTGTCAGCGTAAACAGTGTCCGCTTGGAATATTTTTCCAAAAAAATCTAACCCTAACCAAATCATTTGTTGGTGTGAGGTAGCCCTCATTTCGCGTGGAAGGCTGTAGGTAATAATGTATGTAGGCAATCGAGCTCTAGGCAATAACACATGTCGGGTCCGTGTGCAAACGGGTCTGTGCGCAATTGGGTCGGCGCGCAATCGGGTCCGTGCACAATCGGATAAGTGCGCAATCGGGTCCGTGCGCAATCGGGTCGGTGTGCAAACGGGTCCGTATGCAATCAGGTCGTGCGCAATCGAGTCCGTGTGCAATTGGGTCGTGCGCAATCGGGTCCATGTGCAATCAGGTCGGTGCGCAATCGGGTCTGTACGCAATCGGGTCGGTGTGAAAACGGGTCCGTGTCCGATTGCAACACCATGTATCCGATCACTAATGTGTCAGATCGGGTCCGTGTCCGATCGGGAAGTCCTGTTGTGTCCAATTGTTAATGTGCGCAATCGGAACATTCCCGTTCTTCCAGAAAGCAAAGCATAATGGCGATTTCCACAACACATGCAGAATACGTATCAGCCCATGATGCAGCCAAGGACGTCATTTGATTTCGACAACTACTCAAGGATATTGGAATCGAACAACATAATCCCACTACACTGCACTGCGACAATGCGGCAGCTGAAAAACTGATTCAGAATCCTATCTTTTATAAAAGATCGAATCATATAGATATTAAATTCCATTATGTACAAGATCTGTATACAAACAGGTTAATAGATGTAAAACATGTATCATCTAGAATGCAACTTGCTGATATCTTAACTAAGCCTTTGTCATGCGAGAATTTTGAGTCTAATCGGAATCAGTTAAATTTAACATAATGTAATTGACAATTAGTTTGAGTGTTGAGAGAAATACGATCTAACGTCAATTACGTTTCACACGATATTAAGATTCTTTCTTTTTTTTTATTGATATGTTTTAACGTTTTGTTTAGTTCATTGAGTCACGTGATACGTGTGCGCCATTACCTTACCTTACCTTACTGTAATTCCGTTACTAAGTTCAGACTCAAATCTATAACGTCTAACCAAAAGTTATAATACACTTGAGAAATCGTAATAGATTACTTATTCTATATTTCATCTAGTTATTTACGCAAAATAGCTCAACAAATCCTACTAAGGTAAACGTGTTTTGAAAACCTCAATTTAAATAATTAATTTCAGACAAAATCGTTACAGACATTGTAAGAAGCAACTTTATGTTAATGTTACGTTGTGCAGACGCAGATTTTTTTCTTTCGAGAGAATCGGCTCCGCGTCGCGACTACGATTGGCGCCTGTGAAACGTGAGTAGAGTCCCCTGATAAAAGAATTGAAAAAAGGGACCGGACAGACCCCACGGAAACTCGTAAACGCCAATCAACCCAGAAAGAATAACAAACGTTAATGCAGGTCTGAAAAGTGGCAAGATTGCGAAAGACACCCTAAATCTAGGTCACGAGATAATAAAAATCCAAGCTGTCGTCCGAGGCTGACCAACAATTTCATCTTAAGGAGGTTGTAAGGGCATAAAACACATATATTAATATTTTCGCTTTAAACAAACTACATACATGTGAAAGTTGTGTTCATAACATTCTGGTTTTATTGAGCAACACATTTTTATAGGTTATTTAATTTATTTGTTATTAGTTTTATTGTTATAAACAAAAATTGTTAAAATAATAAGAAAAATCTAAATGTTTTTATATAAATATATTAAGTACTAAACATGACTTATGCAAAGTTTCATTGAGATTCACCATTAGTTTATAACAAGTAACAAATTTTATTTATTTACTAATCATTATTTTATAATACATTTTCATATATTTATATTAGAGTACAAATTTAAAAAATATTACTACTTATTTAAATAACTTTTGATCCAGATGGTTAATTGTTTCTATTTTTTTTTGTATTATTATTGAATGAAATTTAGAATAGTCTGTAATTTATTCAAGTAGTTCTTAACATATTGCATTTGCCTTACAACCTCCTTAAGAAAAACAGGCGCCACATCGCTCTAAAAAATCGTAAAAAGCATGGGATAACTTCCCACGGTAACGTTATCTAAGATCGGACTCGCGACTGACACGGTATTAGGCTGTTTATTTAGCCATATTTTCCGTGAGGATGACAGAATTCGTCACTCGATTGGAGCGATCTTGCTCCTTTAAAGGAAAACATAAATCGTTTTTTTTCTTCTCGAAACCCCACTAATGATGCACTTTAGATTAACAACGATAAGACGCTATAAAAATCGTAAATCTCGCTCGACATTGCAACTAACTATTGCATCCTAGACAAAGGGCACAATGCCCTTTTTTGGGATATAAATAGAGGTCCCGCGGAAGCGCAGAGCGTCAGTACGTCAAATCAACTAATCCGTGATTCACGCCAGTACGGAAATCTAAGCAGTTCGCATCAGTACGGAACCACGCGAGTTCGCATCCGTACTTGAATATAGATTTCAATTCAGGTAGTTCACCCCAGTCTTGATCAGCCAGTCACTGGCCACCGGACTACCCTCCTGGTGCTCTTGCGCGGACAACGGCCTTCTTCATCGCCAACCATTTATCCAGCTGAGGCTTGGTGGACAAATAAACTCATGCAGCATAGCCAGTAAGTCAGCCTATTTTACACTTATCTTATTATTATACACACCCCTCCCCCTCCCTGTATGAGTATATATGCACACACATATATATATATATATTTATATATGTATGCATACGTATTAGCAGACACTCATACATATAGTTAATCCCTCGGTTTAATTATAGTGCGCGATTGTATTGCTACGAAAAAGAAGCGGGGACGAACCCGGTACCCCGAAAGAGTTCACGGAACCGTCCGCTAAACCATTTAACATTACTACACCCGAACGGCAGCGAAGTCCATCCACCTATCTTAATAGTTGCGCCACAACCAACCGGAAACTAACCTCACACACTATCGTCACTACCAGCCGACAACGATTTCACACAAATATATTACTCGCCAACACTCACACTCACCACTCCTATCCTTGATCCTGGGGTCCTAGAAATCCTGGATTATTCTCCTCTCCATTTGAGTAACCATTCTCTCCCCCTTCTTCTCTAGACCAGTTTCCAACTCTTCCTCCTTCCCTGGATCATCTCTTACCTCCCGTTCCAATACAGACCGATCCTGAACCCATTGACTGGAATCGGTTATTTAGACTTTACTCTTCCCCCTCCAACGAAGGGGATAGAGTAACAACAGTGTACATCTCAGGCAATTCCACTCCTTACCTCGTCCAGTACAAACACCTAGTCCCCGCCTGTTCTTGGACCACCTTCCTCGCATCGAATACCCAATAATCATACCCTCCTTTCCTATCCACATATTCATATTAGGTGTACAACTTTGCTTCAGCCGTTTTTTTCCGAAATTCGAGGCTTTATTGTAAAAAACTGGTTATACATTTATGATTCAAAGTATTGTCCATCGTTGGCCACTACCTTCTTCCATCTCTCGGGCAGCGTAAGAAAACCCGTGTCGAAAAAACTGGTCATTTTTTGAGGCGATCCACGAATCGATCCAATTTTTTACTTCTTCAGAATACCGGAAGTGCCGGTCAGCCAGGCCGTGTGCCATTGATCAAAAGAAGTGATAGTCAGAGGGAGCAACGTCTGGAGAATACGGCGGGGGGGGGGGG